TATTTATTATCTTGCTTCATATCCTTAAGGTTTTTTTTAAAACTATTTTTCCCTTTTAAAATCAGATATCACAGACTGAAGAAGAAAACAACAGATAATTGAGATTCTTTTATCAGCCTCCTCCACTAAGCACTTTAAGAGACATTTTATTTATTCCTGGCTTTTGGGAAATTTTCAGCCCACAGATTATTTGTCATTTTTCTCATTTTGGTTAATTTGTCATTATACGCAGTTTTATTCTTGGATTCTGGGATTTTTTAAATTGAAGCAAAATTGACATACAATAATATCCCATTAGTTTCAGGTGTACATAATAGTCATTCTATATTTTTATACATCATGAAATGATCCCCATGACATCTTTTTTTTTTTTAACTGAAGTACATGGTATATCTGGGATCTTTTCTCTCTAAAATTAAGAAACCTTCACAAACATGATTTTACAGAGAAAGGAAAGAGAAGGGAAACAAGGAAGACAAAGAAAAATATGAAAACCTCCATCTTATAAGTGAATGTGACTCAACGATTAACTTGCTTCTGGAAGTATCAAGGGGAAATGAAAGGGTGGCTAAATTCCAGACAATGATAGGAGCTTCCACTCTGGCTGCTGCACTTGGCTGCCAGCAGGAATTAAGGTCTGAGGACCTCCATTTCACATTCATCTTTCATGATAGTTTAAAAAAAATGGCAAGCGTCAGCTTAAAACTTCATCCTAATGACACATTTCCTATAGAAAGTGCTCACAGAGCCTCTCATACCTGCTGCCTTCCTTACAGGTGATAATGAGTAAGAATAACCACGATTAAAGTAGTCAAGGAGGATGAATGAGAAGAACTGATATGGAGAGGGGCATGCCACAGGCATCCAAGGACCTCACCTTTCCCAGCCCAGTCCCTCCTCTGTGCTGTCTGTCTGGACCTTCCTGCAAGCTGTCTCTCCCTCCAATAGGCTTTCCCTATTCCCCGCACATGATTATGGGAGCATGTTCCCTGGACAGTGGAGATATTACATGAAATAGTTATCTCACTGGACTGTGGTCTCCCTGGTGGTGTAACTCTTTTTGTTTTCTGCATCCACTAGATGCCAATTAATTAATGAATGAGAAGAAACAGAGATGAGTCAAATTCATGGGACAGAATACAACTTACAGTATTTATGGGTTTGTTAACCTAACAAGTAAAATTCCTTCTGAAACCAGCTCACATCTTGCAGAAAAACCCTGTATGTCAATATTATATCTTCATGTAGGAAAAAGAAGGGTAGAAAGGAAACCCAATTTCATTTTAGGGAAAACAGTGCCCAAACCACACATAGAGGTAAACCATGATTAAAAACCCATGTGGTGGTTGGGTACACAGCAGCAAAGGGCCTGGCCTATGGGTTTAGAATTGGCTGGGATTTCCAAAGAGGAAGAGGTTTGGTGGGAAATCTGGAATTTTCAAGCACCTGCTAGAATTTAGAACTGAAGTTCTAAAATGAATGCTTTAAAAAAAAACCCTCTCAAGAATAACAAATCTTAAATGACTTCTATGGGACTGGGATCATACATTAATTCCTTCACTTACATTCAGGGAGTGCCTACTTTGTACTGAGTTTTGGAAATTAGAAAAAAATCATATATAATTTGAATATGTCATGAGAAGAACCATAATATATCACAGTTTATTAGGCAGTGATGTAGCACCACAGATAAGATGTTTGAGGTAGGTCAAGAATGATGAGAAGGAATTGTCCAGGTTGAGAGAAGAGAGAGACAGTCCAGGAAAAGGTATGAAATAGCCTGGCACATTGGGAAAACTGGAAATAGTTGTGTATAGTGGAACACAGAGAGTGAAGGCGTTGGTCAGAGGGGAGACTGGCAGTGAGGCTTCTATGGGCAAATCACAGAAACCTTATGTTCCAGGCCAAGGAGATTGGAGTCCTCCTGCAGGAACCATCAAAGAGCTCTACACAAGGAGTGACAGGGCCACCAAGTTGTGTGTTAGGACTGTCACTCTTCTAAATGCTACCTATTTCAGCCAGACTCAACTTCAAATCCTAAGTTTGGATCTTATTAAAACATTTAGATCTTAGACTGTTGCCCAACAGCCCTGGCCTTGACCTCATGGTTTAGCTCATCTTTTCTAGGACAAATGCCTTTCTTTATTCCTTGGAGGTGTGTTGAATCTGGATAATCTGGGTGCAAGTGCACGGGATGGAGGCTGTGCCCACTCAGTACAAATCACCACCATCTTATATGTAGGTGCTTTGAAAGTGGGGTCCTCCCTCTGGCAGAGCATGTCTCCATGCTTGCATTCTGGGGTCTTAGATAACTGGAGGTATAAAAGAAACCTAACACTGTACAAAGAACAGAACCACAGAGATCTCAGGATGAATACGTCCTCTTGTCATTGCCTGAAAAAAACACACGTAAACAAAACCAAATGGAAATACTGAGTGGAAATGTGTTTTCTCCTGCAGAAGCAGCACATTTGGCAAACTTCTACTGAAAGGACATATAGTTGGTAAATACAATGCAAACGTTTCATGACAAGTAGCAGGCATTAAACTTACTGCATGTTGGGGGAGATAGGAGGAGGGTGGAATGTGTTTTATCTCAGGGAGGCAATCAGAGAATGTGCGTGAAGGGGAGGGGAGTGCTCCCTCAGGGGTGAGGGTGGCGGTGGACAACCAGAAGGAAAGTGGGCACAAGGGAGACCAGCGGTCTGGGGGATCAACCGTTCACTGAAGAAAAACTGAATGCAGGGCTATGGGAAAGACTGTTTTCTGGGAAACTTCAGATAATTTTGCCACACCCCCCCCCCCACACAGGAAACATTTGGCCATGTTTGGTCATCCCAACTGGAGGTGTGGGTGCTATTGGCATCCAAGGGCACTGCTAAATAAACATCTTAGGATACACAGGACAGCTCCCTCAACAAAGAATTATCCAGCCCCAAATGTCAGTAGTGCTGAAGCTGAGAAAACCCTGATCCCTTACAAAGCTTTCGCCTGTGCCCATCCTTGGCAACGTTATTCTACTTTCCACGGCTGCATCTGAAGACAACTGCCAGTAGATTTTTTTTTAAAAAAACACCGTAATGTCTAAAAATAAAACCATTTTTATACTTCAAGGAACAAACAGAGCGATCATTTTTTCATGACTCTCTCAGCGTTTGAACATTTCCAAAGGCTGGGGACAGCAGCCTTGCAATCTCTCCACAGCTCCCTGCCCCTCAGATCCCTGTGCCGAGCCTCGCCTGGCCTCTCTAGGTTGGCTGCTGCAGCAAATGATAAGACCTTAATTTACGAAAGGATGCTATTCCTGGCAGGTAACAGCCAGAAACTTCCAGGAAAGGTGTCCTTCCTAATGTCCAGAATCCCTTCCACCCTAGCATTCAGTCCCTAGCATCTGATCCCTATACTGCCCCCTACTCATTGCAATGTTCCTGGGCTCTAATTCCAGGCCTGAAAACCCAGCAAGTTGTCTATGCCACTTTGCCCCAACCCGTCTGACTCTGATTTCAAAGATAGGGCAGAAAATGAATTTCCTAACAGGCAATTTTTTTTTGAAGGCAAAAGGTCTATGTGCCATTAAGAATCCAGAGCCTAGCCTGGCTATTACCTCAGACAAATCACATCCTCGTAATTTTCTTCCAACAAATGTCTGTGAAGGCTGCCAGACTAGGGCAGAAATTTGTTTAATGACAGTCTCTGGGAAATTAAACACTCTGAACAATGGTGACGGATGTGTTCCCCCCTCCAGCCCACCCCCACGGCCTCTTTTCCAAGGGTAGACCCAGCAGTCACACAGAGGACCAAATACAGATGAATGCCCCAGGCCACAGGAATCAATCTTGATTTTACGTGTGCTCTGTTCCTTCCCATTTCCCTCCGAGTCCCCTTCATCTTCTTCCATCTCCAGAACCCAGCGTGGTACTGGCTTGGCCACAACTTCTGGGTAATATTTTTACCTTCCTGCCCTCCTTTTCCTGACCATGTTATGTAAGGAAGATCCCAGCTGCCCAAGGCAAGGAGGTGGAGGGAGGGAAGAACTCTGAATTCGTGACAGAGACTCCGTCCTCATTTCTCCCCTGCTGTGTAGTGTCAGCACAATTCACCGTCATCAGGACAATGGCAGGCTGTCTCACAGGAGGGCAGGGCTAAGACCCAGGCCTGCCCCTCATCTCAGCTGAAGAACCTTGTATGGGCAGGGAGTGACTTGCTCAAGGTCACACACCCTCTCTCTGGAGTGTATGGCCGTGAATTTTCAAACTTGAGTGGATAAGTTTTCCTTTTGTCTTATGTGTGGTAGGTTTAGAGGCCCTTTGCATGGTCCCTCAGAGTCCCATGGGGGAAATGACTCACTCACACTGAGGCTGGGATCTCGGGTCTTTGCCTTTTTTAGCTCTGACCTTTAGTCGGGATTGCACTTAAACCTCACATGATTAAACCTTTCCCCCTCCTGCCTCTCCCCTCCTGTGAGGAAGGAGGAGACGGAGAAGAAACACAGTACTCAAGGCCTGTGCTTACTCCCTGGGGGGTTGCATTCATGTGCGTTCCCAATACACAGAGGGGCAAGCAGGAGCCATATGTCTACTCTACTCTTGGTGCTTCATCTCATACGTGAGTTTCTGAAGCCCAGAGACCTGTCCTTCTAGTTCCCAAACTATTATGTTCAAATTCCTATAGACTTTTATGATTTATACTTTTCTATATATCTAATGCAATGGAATCCCATAATTTATTGTGTTTCCTGCTTTTTAAGTTAACTTTGTCCTAATTCCACACACACTGGAGAAAAATAAATCCCTGTATATCCTAATTAATCTACTGATTTTCCTAGATTCACTCCACTATTTTTGTTGAAGTATCTAGGAACATGCAAAAGGTACACTCAATTTTCCATCAAACCAACCAATCAACCAACCAACCAACCAACCAACCAACCAACCAACCAACCACACGAGTGGACCAGGACTTGGAAAATGACAAACGAATGACTGAGACATTCTGTGCATCTATGCTCCTCCTGTCTTTGTTCACCCTCCTTAAGGCTATGGGAATTGCTATTCCATTTCACTTGAAGTGGATTTTGGCTCCATAAAGAATATGAGTGACTCCTGCTAGATGAAGCTTCCAAATAGCATGCCCAGGCTCTTGGCACTTTTGGTAACCAAAACCCACGGTCCAGTCAATGGGAGAGACACAGGACTATAGGTAATGCCAATGGATGGATGTGGCATCCTTGGAACAGGCTCCAAGTCTCACAGGTGGGGGTGGGTGCTGCTGTTGCTTATCTTTTAAAATGAGTTTCCATGTTTTATCTGTGAGAGGGACCCACAACTAGCAAGATTTACTAAACACTTAAAATCACCAGTTGTAACCCCTGATAGACAGCTGAAATTTGGGAGTTTCGGAGTGATTTCTGAGGTCTAAGAGGGAAGCAGGGTGGTGCAGGAAGGCATGCATGGAAACTGGTGTCAGGCAGAGCTACGTCCAGATCCTAAACTGACCTTTTTAGTTGTACGATTTTGAGAAAGCTGAGTCCAAACTTTCTCACATGTATCATCAAGGCATCATTTTGCACATTTCTTTTTGGGTGTGACTTGAGTAAAGAACAGAGATGGCTTTTCTTGCTCCCAGCACCAAGACACCCAAATGCAACCCCAGATATGGGGCAGTAAATATTCTGTGAATGAAGCAATCTGTATTTATGAGTGCCCTGTCATTCCCCAGTCTATCAATGTGATCAGCCTCTTTCCTTTATCTGCAGTCTGCCACATCTTACTCTTGACCAGGATTACACAAAGCCTGAGGCTGGAGTGACAGAGCTAAAAGCTTATGGTACATAAAGTGGCCCAGAATCGAGAACCCCCCACTATGGTACCACATCCAGTCTTATTTTCGGGAGACAGTACCAAGCTGTTTAGTTTTTTTTTGTTGTTTGTTTTGTTTTGTTTTGCAAAACACATGGCCCTTCCTTCCAAACCATTAGTATAACTCCAGAATTCAAACCTGAAGAATTAGATGACAGTCGAGTATGAGTGATGGACAGAGGCCCATGGGCTGTTTAATGCTTAAAGAAATTGGTTACTTTTAAAGACTGTCATTTCAGCTATTGTAATAGGCTCAAGGGAGAGAGATTTGGGGGTTCAAATAGCAGGAAGTAGGTGACTGGTCTCTCAGCTTTTCTGGGAAGCCAGACTTGAATTTGACCTAAATAAGGCATGCCAATCAACCTCTGATTAATACAAAACCCAAGCTTCATCTCTTTGTTTCATCACTTTTCTGGGGTGTTGGTAAATCTCTGAAAAGCTCAAAAGGCAAATCAGGAAAAAGAAGATTTTAAAGTTCCATTTTTTGCCACTTGTTAACCAAGCAGATAAGCTCCTTTGGTTCAGGTGAGGCTTCAGGATTAACTCCAGGATTCATAACTGTGTCTTCCCTCTGCCCCAGAAAACAGAAAGCTGGCTGTCTTTCGTCACCTGCACTTCCTATCCAAGAATAGGATTATTTTAAGACACTCTGAATCTCCTTCCACCTCCTATCCTGTGGACTCCAGGGCTTTGACAGTAATGCTTCCCCTTCCCCTTCCATTCAATAGGACTTTAAGCAAATCATTTAGTGTAACCAGTCAAAAAGAACCATCTGTAAATCAGATGCAGAAGGCAATAAAAACAGCACCAGTGACACACAAACAGCATTCTATATTTGACAAGTTGAGCCTCTGATAAAAACAGTATATTTTGCCATTCCAACCCCCCCCAATCCAGGAAGCACTGACAAGAAAAGCAGTAGGAGCGGCAACACCCTGCAACAAAAAGATAATGTCGACAGTCTATTTCCAGCCCTGCTTGGTTCCCACTGCCTAGTTAATAACACTTGCCTCCAAAGAGTTGGCCAGCCATCCTCCCAACCCCATTCCCAGTCCACATGGTAAATATTAACTATGGTCTAAGATTCAGTCAGTCATCCCACCCATGGGGCTATCTGGAGAGACTCCAGGAATGAGACAGCGCCTGCAGAGCAAGTAGGAGCCTTTTTCTACTAGATTGAATGTGAATGGCAAGAATGTTCCAAAGTGAACATTCTGTACATCTTTTCATAATGGCAAGAACATTCCAAAGTATACGTTCTGTACATCTGATACAAACAGAGCTGCAGAGTGAGTATGTACACTTGCAGATGCACAGTCATGGACCATGGACTAGAAGGGCCACACTGACTGAGAGAAGGCAGTATAGCCACTTTCATGGAAGGTTTTGTCTGGCCAGCCACTGAGCTAAGTGCTGTACCTGTCCTAGTAGTGGAGATGTTGTTATCGCCACATTACCAAGAAAGGGCAAATGAGAGATGGTAAGAGCTTTACTCAAGGTCACATAGCTAGTAAGTATCAGACTGGGAACCAAATAGAGGACACAGGAGACAGCAAAGCACATACTCTTTACTGCCATACCACTGAGCCTTGCCTGCCCTCCTGTGTGGGTGAATGAGTAGGTGCTGTTATACCTTCTTAATTTCCTAGGTTCTCTTCTTCTGTTGGGCCTCCTGCCTCCGGCATCTTAGTTTTATGAAGGAAGGGGACTACACAGCAAGGTACTAGTTAGAAACTTTCTCACTCTAGGTTGGAATTAAACTGTCATATAACTATTTCTTAATGGGCAAACATACTATGACTCTCAGAATCACCCTCCAAACCTTTATTAGGCAAATTTCAAAGTCCTCTAGCTTCATATTCAGTGTGGCCCAGCTCTGAATGGTTGGCACTCAGTAAATACTTGTTGAATAAGTGAACAATGAATCGTTCAATCAGCTGATAGATTTAAAATAGGTAAGTCTGAAAGTCATTATGGCAGCAAAATATAAAGGTAGCTGGCAGGGTGTAGTAAAATATTAAACAGTAAAGTCTATGATAGCCAAATCCATTGTATTGGCCTCCAAATGAACTTGAAAAATACTGTTTCCCAGTGAGTTCCCTGGACACGGGCCAATGCTTGCCTGGTCAATGAGTTACTCCCAAAGTGTAAGTAAGGAGGTTCATCAGCTTTGCATACCCCTTCAGGAGCAATTGAGAAAATGAATAGTCTGCTCCTCCATGAGATCCAAGTGGCCTAATGGAATAATGCAACTCCACAAGGGCCTAAATTATGTCTGGGGATTATGTTGCTCATTAGGTAGCATCCCTGCTATGAAAACTGGTCAACCCAATGCAAAGAGAGATGGGAAACACATCCAGTGGGTGAGGAGCCATGAGCGCTCTCTCTGTATTGTAACGGAACTGTCCATCCTGTTGTGCAGGGTGTCCCAACCCACAGGCCAGCTGCCATTGACCAAGGAGTAGCCATGGCCCCAGATGTGTCTAAAAATGCTAAGTGGGCTATTTGGGGCCCAAGGAAGTTCTGTTAATAATATAAATAGCAGGCCAATGTTGGGAAATTCAAAAGCTATGTTTTGCTTCCAAATTACAGATTCAATAAATTTTATTCCACATGCATATATTATAATATTTTAGAATGTGCTTTTTTAAGATAAAAAGAATTTAAAGCCTACCTGTGTGCAATTCCCCCAAGTTAAAGCTAAAATTTCCTAACCTTTGAAGGTTCATTTCTCTTATGCTGTCATTAAAATTACTTATGCCTTTAATTTGCTGAGTTGCAGTTAGTGGGAAATCTCCCCAGCCACACACTGTTCTCCGTTAGTCACTCCTGGGTTCTGAGGCACTGCTCCTTATAAGAGTAAGCCATAATTGAAATACCCTCTAAAATAGGATAAAATCATCTTCTACAGAGCATGCTCAGCTACATACTTTAAGTAAACTTGGCTCTGTGTTCCGCTCTCGATGAGAAGGTCTATTATTCCAACCATGTCATATTTGCAATTTCAGCTGTTTTCCAATCAGGCAAGTGCAAATAAATAAATAAATAAAATAAAAAGAGGCCAGAGTGTGCTCTCTAGAGTGGTAAAGGTTTGCCTCCTCTACTTCTGCACAATGAGGGCACGCAGACAAATTCAGTGACTTTTCACACAGACTTACTTGTGAGGTGAGATTATGAGTACTTTTAGTTTCTTTCTCTCCATCTTCATCTTTATCACGTTATTAGTTCTTTTAAAAAGTCAGAATGGAAATGAGTTTCTGGCTTTCCTACTGCACTTGATCCATTAGCATCAATTTTACAGTTGATACAGTGGGTCTTAAAGAATGCAGAATTTATAAGATGGAAACTTTGGCTGTGATCACACTATTGAGTACCAATCAACTTATAGTAAGAAAGATGGGTTCACATTTGGAAATAAAAGCACTTTCCTTAGAACATAGAAGGCAGATTTTGGGGGGATTCTTTCAAGAGGGTAAATCTCCTAGGACTGGGACTGGCTACTTGAGTTATACTGAGTGCTCTCGGGAAAGGGGCCTGTCATGTATGAACTCGTGGCCTTAAATACAACTCATTTATCTTCTAAAGGCCTCAGTTTCATAATCTCCCCAATCACAACACTAATATAGACTCTAGAGAGTTGTAGGATTAAATTATAAACACATGGACAGCACCCAACACATGGTAAGGTCCTCAATGTGTGTAACTTAAACATAGATTGAAAACTTGAGCTGTGTGACCTTGGACACACACAGAATTACCTCCATGAAAAGGAGAATGGCATTACCTCACTCATAGAATTCTTTTAATGACCATCTGTAGGTATCAGATAGTAATTGAGCAAATTTTATGTGCCAGGGACTTTTGTGTATATGTGTCTCTCTTTAAGCATGTAAATTGACAATCAAAAATCTCTGTGTAGTACAAGGTATTGTTTCAGGTAACCAGATACTAAATATAAGAAATTGCATGGGCTCAGGTGGCAAACACATACTGAGACACAAGATGACCTGCTCTTTAGAAGGTAAATCTCATTCATTGATTCGTTAAACATTTATTGTGTGTGTGTTAGGAGGCAGGCAGGGCACTATTAGACACAGTTTAATAAAACATGGCCCCTGTCGATGCATGAGACAGAATTTACACACAGCTCTTGGCTTCATATCTTTAACTAGAAGTATTAGTTTCCTTCTTTTCCTCCCTCAAGGAGATCTCTGATTAACTGGGAGATGAGTGAAAATCAATTCAAGGACTGGGTTTGGTAAATGCTAAAAGGCAGCAATATGCCTAATGCCCTCCTGTCACTTCCAGATTCACGGATGAAGGTGAAAAAAGTGTGTCAGGATTGAGAAGTCTATATACTTCTAATGGAATCTTGAAATGCGTGGATAAAAAATGTCATTAATTCAGACCCTGTTAATTGAAAAACTTTGTAATTTAGAAGAGGGTGGTCTACGATTACTTTTGTAGGGGTAAGTGGTGGGAGGAACAGAGTGCTACAGAAAATAGTAAGTGAAACACAGCTGGAAAGTTCTACGGGCATATGTTTTTGTTGACTGGGGAGAAAAAATGGGCTGAGAAGATAAAGAGACTAGAGTTAGAGAGCAAGGACAAGAGCTCATTGTGTTCTTTCCTCTAGGTCTCAAACATCCAACAATCTCTTGGATGTTTCGAAGATGAAGATTCCCCATAACTCTTCAGCCTTCTGAGTAACTTGATAACACTTTCCTCTGTGATGCATTTGCCTTTCAGTGCCCAATATCAAGCTTGGTGGCCAGCACAGAAAAGGCTCTGTAAATGTTTGTTGACTTGGCAGATGAATGGGAAATGCCTGTGTGATGCCTCAGGGTTCTTACTGCGTGCAGCAGAGATGGTGGATGGAGAGAAGCCTTCCCAGAGTTGGTGCTCCAGCCAGGGCTCAGGATTTTTGTTTGGATTGGCCTTGAAAGGACAAGAAGAATCAGTCTTGCTCTTCACAGCTACCCAGAGAGGGGCTACACTGATAGAGACACACTGAGGTGTTCATTTGGCTCAGTTAATTCCTGCCTCAAAGCAGCTCAGAGCATGTGTGGCTGCAAATGACTTTTTATGCCACTTATGGCTGCAGGCTGGGAGTGAATGTACTCTACACTTGCTTATATGGGACTATTCAGTGCCACAGATTTTGTGTAGCTAAAAGTTTATAGGAACAGGGTGCAACTGTAGCATTTTCATGGACACTAATCTATTTGGTTCACGGCACCCCACACAGGAATGACTAGTCACTTTTTTTTTCTAGAGACATCAGGCATTTTCTAGTTAAAGAGCTGGGAGGACCCTAACTCTATGCTCTTTTCCTGGAACATGGGTTCTCACCAACACTCTAAGGTGAGATTTAGTGGTGAAATCACAATGATATGAGCAACAATGACCCAAGCTTGTCTATCCAGACACATTTTCAAAAGCTTTCTCTGAAAAATGTTCTGGGCTTGGAGGAGCTATAGTGAGCAATACAAGTCTTTGGGAGGAGAGAGGTCCAGAACCAGGGCAGTAGGATAGTGGCAAAGCTCTTCTGCATGCAAGGGCTAGATCTCTACGGGAAGAAGGGAAGTTCCATGAAACTCTTGCAGGCACATTAACTTGGGGAGGTTTGGGGTCTCTAACTGCTAGGCAGAGAGGGCAGGGAGCTGGGGAGCAGAATGCAGGGGGACCTGAGGGCCCTAGCTAGGCAAGCAGTGATCTCGTGCTTTCAGGTCTGTGGTTTCTACACTGTGTTCAAAGAGGTGAGAGATTCTACCTGAAGGACCAAGGGCCAAGAGCTCAAGTTGTCCCCTCCCATTTGAGTGGGAACAGCTTTGCTTTTATCTCTATTACTTACTGAGCCTCCTAGTCTTTTTATTTTTAAAGAAGGGTTTGGCTGTGGACATGTTTGAAATATGTTGATCTAGCTCTCCAGGCTGGATCCAAGACGCTTTGGGTTGAGTAAGGGGCTGGTGAGAGCCCTGTGGGACTGAAGTCAAGGGAGCTGGGTTGAGGTCAGGCCTCACTCTTAGAGGAAATGTGTAGGGAGCAAGGTCTTACAGAGACTGGGCCAGCACAGCAAGGGACAAAAATGTGGAGAACTGAGGATAACTCAGGTGGCAAGTCACATTTCTGGCATTCTGCAAATCAGGTTTATTATGTGCAAATTTAATTCGGCCCTTCCCCCAACCTACACAGTAGGACCCAGGCTGCTAAAATACTTTCCCAGGGTGGTCTGAGGAGTGGATATCTGTCTTTGCATTAAAAATTGCAGGTGGGGAAGGGCACCGGCTTAACAGCATTCACACTACATCCCTCTCACTGCACATACCTATGAAACCCAACCTGGAGGGAGTGCCTTCCAAAGAGGAGGAGAACTTTTGGGTGTGGCTAGGGAAGGCGGGGAGCTGGTTGCTTTTGGGCAGTACACAAAATTAATGACATTGGGATTGTTTCTGCTTTGGATACAAGTAATTGAAATGACTGAAATGGAAATGAACATGTGCTTTTGATGATTAGGAGATGAAAAAGAAACAATTAGCATGAAGATTAATAAAGGGCAAAATAATTTTTTTCTCCTTGACAATACAGATGCTCACAAGAGAAAACGTATTCGAAAAACTTTTCAATTTGGCGACCCTCCACTGGAGCCTGGAGACACTAGAAAAATTTTCAAATAGTCAGGGCCAGACAAATTCTAAATAAAATTCACAGAAGTAGTTCAAGTAAGGGTTAGAGCCAAAAATTCAGGTTGTCCACAAGGTCTGAGTGTGAAGAAACTCTTTCCACATTTCTCATCATTGGGGTGAGATGCTGGCCATACAAGAAAAGTTTCCATCCTTCTACCTAGGAGTTTCCTGTTCTGTTCAATCACAGTAAACACCCCCATGGCAAGTTTCTCCTGAGAGGTTATTCAGGTATCGCCTTGTCTCTTCTAAAACAGTACCCAACTAGCCTAACTGCAAAGTTGTAGGGAGTACTCTCCTTCTCTCTCTCTGATATTTTTAGTGAGCCAGCCTGCCTAATATCTTGATCATAGTGCATTAAAGCAGAAAAATGTGGCTAACAATTCAGTGGTCCTACTGAGGCCATCTATGAGTTGGGAATCCACTCCCCACCCCACCCAGTACAAGCCCTCCTATTCTCTCTTGACACTCAAGACCTCAGCAGCATTTTTCACTCATTCTGCATAATGAGGCTCTTGGTGCTCTTATTAGGAGGTACATGGTCAAGGGTGCGGAATGAAGTTTCTTAGAAGCAGAGAGTAGGCAGTGACTCCAAAAAGCAAAGGAAATGCTTTGTCCCTCCTATAAGAGAATTGGTGGTAGCATGCTAAATGACAGTCAGAGACATTTGGTGCTGTTAGCCTAATACTCACTCACGAGCGGTGTGATTTTGGAAAGGATTAACTTCCCTAAATCTGAGATATTTCATCTGTACCCGGGGTCTGCTGAGGTGGGCAACTGTTGGTGGCTTACCTAATAGTTGCCTTCCCTCTTCTTCCTACTTTTATTCACATGTCTGTCTATCCTCTGGGCAGTCCCTGAGCCTGAGTCAATGTGGACCCCCCCAACCCAGATGTGGATCTGATTGGTCTGAGTATAACCTCCCCCTTTTTTTGTATAGCATATGGTTCAGAACTGGGTGTGTGCTCAAATTCAAGCCAAGGAGATAAGCAGAGGGAAGACTGGGTCTATGAATGTTCTTGCTTCTTCTGGGGTCATATCCTAAAGTGACTCCTCTCTCTTTCACGGGATGATGTGGTGTGCAACATACATCAAGAAAGCTGCTACACAGAGGAGGGTAGGGCCCCCCAAATTGTAGAAAAATGAACTGAAGCCCCTGGATTAAGCCAGCCCTGAAGTCCACAGTATTTCTACCTTCTAGTTATATGAGCCATTTTTCTTCTTGTTAAAGATAATAATTGTTAAGTTTTCTGTTACTTGCAAATTAAAGTATATAAAATAATAGAGACAGCTATTATAATTTGGGGGAAGATAAATAAAAAATAAAAGAAGAGATGTGTTGCACTTAGCATAGAACTCAGTACAGAGTAAGCACTCAAGACATGATAGCTCCTTTCGCTGTGGTATCTTTTCTGGGTACACTGCCTCATCTCAATTAAGGGATTCTCCCAGAGGATCTATTTCAGTTTTATTCAAGCACAGGGACATCTCCAGCATTATAAATGTTGAGAAGTTCCACTCATCGGCCGTTTCTAGAAATTGAGGGTGCTGGGGGCAGAAGGAACTATATCCGGAGGACCCTTAATGCCTGCTATGAGTTGAATTGTGTCCCCCTCCAAAATATGTTACAGTCCTAAAGCCAGTACCACAGAATGTGACCCTACTTGGAAATAGGATCACTGCAAATATAATGAGTTAAGATGAGGTCATACTAATTCAATATAACTCGTTTTCTTAGGAGGAGATGGCAATGTGAAGGCACAGACACACAAGGAGAAAGAATGTCGTGTGATGATAAAGGCAGAGGTTGGTGTAATATACCTGCAAGAAAGGAACACCAAGGATTGCCAACAAACCACCAAGAGGAAAGGAGGGATTTCCCTATAGGTTTCAGAAGATTTTCAGAGTAGGTTTTAGGGGCATGGCCCTGTCAACACTTTGATTTTGGACTTCTAGGCTTCAGAACTGTGAGATATTAAATTTCTGCTGTTTTAAGTCACCTGTTTTGTGGTATTTTGTTATGGCAGCTCCAGGAAATAAAGACAGTGTCTGTTCAGAATTACTAACAAATCAGGTGGAAACCATACATTTTAAATCACCTATCTTTCTAAAAGACTTACAAATGTTATCAGATATCCTCTACCTATGATAGCTCATTCCAGACAGCTAAAAGTTTAACATTCTCTCTCTAAAAGCATCCCAGTATCCCTTTATTTAAAGGTATTACCAATCTCCAAGTCTTAAAGAACAAAATCAAAATCAAAGTATACAGATGTATAAAAATAGATAAAAGTGTAGCGCCTACAGTTTAAGGATTTGGGGACCTTCAGACCTGCTGCCAACTCTCTCTTATGATCCTTAATCACCCCCAAAGAACCACTAGGGTTCCACAGCACTTAGGCTGAGAAACACTGTTCTAGGGAATGCAAATCATGGGTGCTTACCGCCACATTCGGAAGTACACTAGGAGTTCTCTTGAATGACGGCCACACAACTGATTTGCCAGCTTAAGAAATGTTCTCCATCCTTTCTGTAAAATATGGTGACAGACACCCAAGCTGAGACTGCAGGCTGTGCCCCTGTGCTTCTGCTTCCACCAGTTGAGATGTGAGCTTTTGGAGTCTGTTTTCAAACCTGTTTCTGCCGGTTGCCTTATTCGTGTAATTACATAATTTGGTTGCAGATTATATACACTGATGAAATGTAAGTGTGAAAAGAAAATGCTCTAAGTTGCATGCTTTGGAACATTGGATAAAAAAAGTTGCTAAAACAAAATCAAAACTGTTGGCAAACCAGGTGTGGGTGGGTCAACCCCAAAGACTGGAAGACTCTGTACTTAGACTGCTTCCTAAGTGCCTTCAAGATCTCACTCCATTTTAAGTAAACTGGAACTGAAAATTGCAGATGGTGACTTTTAGGTATGGTTTATTGGTCATTAAAAACTCCAACTGGCAAACCTAAGAAATGCTTTGGTCTTGTATGAAAAAATTGGTGAGTGAATATGTGTTTATATGCTTTAAGTCAAAATAAAACATTGAGGGTACACACATATCATGTTATGATTAACCATAACTATTTTCATGGTTTTTTTAATTAGCTAATCAGCTGCCAGGTCCAGGTGCATGGACTGAGAGAGACTTTATGCAGTTGCTTCATTTTGGATGCTATATTTTTTGGATAGGCAAATTCTGCTTTTTTGTCTTAGTTGTCATCAGTGGCTATCTAGAATGTAAGCTCCATGAGGGAGGGAATACTTGTTTGCTTTGTTCAGTGATGTCCATTTTTCAAAAATTCTACTGATTCAAAACATCATAGATATTGTCAATAAAACAAAAGGAACATGTGTTTACCTGTCTAATTTTTAAAGCTACTTAAAAAATGGAAAACGACCTATAAATCATCTCCTGTGGGTATGATTATACATTGGGCATGAGTCTCAGAAAGGACTTTGTTGACTTCCCGGCCATATCATATCTAGGTCAAAGACTCGGCCACTTACCAGAGACAGAACACTAGACCTAACCTAGTCAGGTGTGTGTGGGGAAAGGGAAGCAGCTTAGAATGGCTGTAACTGCCATCTCTGGGCATTTCACCTTCTGCAGGTAAAAGTCTTTAGAGTGTAAATCCCACTCCAATTTGGATTTAGGTTTTGATTCTACTAACTTAAAAAGAATTGCATTTTCTGAACATTCTCAGAAATGAAGTAGTAAATAAAACATATCAGTGTACTGTAATGGTTCTAAAAAGCCATATGCATAAAACGGTACCCATCCCCATTCAGAGTCCAGATAAACTCTATCCCTGGGAAGATGCTCCCATTCTGAGAAAGTCAGGCTAAGAAGAAGAGAGCAGGAAGGGTGACAGCCATCCTGCTTTTAGCTGAGGAGACTAGGGGCCAGAGTGGCCAAGTGGCTTGCCTGCAGCAAGTGTAGGGTGGCATCTGATCTGGAGTGAGAACTCAAATCTCCTATTCTATTCCCCATACTGTATGGCCCTAGCAAAAGCAAAAAGGAAGAAGAATCAAGATGACTGGGAATGAGTTCACAGTGACATCCTATCTTACATGTGTCATGTGCCCAATAAATACTGGTTAGTTTGACATCCTGACCCCATGGGTGGCAATAGGCTGAAAGTCACTGGGTGTGGAAATCATCAAGACTTTTTAAATGAGAAGAATCTGGAGTGGCATATGTTGTTGGCATCCTCCTAACCCCATTAGCAGCTGGACAAGTGGAGAGCAAATAGACAACCATTTCCCAGTTCTGAGGCCATTCTCTCTGGAGGGACTTTCTAAAGGAGAATACTGCCTAAATTGGCAATTAACCCAAACTTAACAAGGGCTTATAGTCACAGCAGGGCAAATCTGGTGAAAGCCAACCTCAGACAGAACAGGCCAAAGGGAACCTTCCACACTCAAACTGTAGGAGGAAAAGCAATTGGCTGTTGGCCTATAAGTCTTTCATTTCTGGGTGTGATTATCTCTACATTGGAACTTAATGGATAATGGGGAAGTGCAAAGGTATTTCTGAGGCTGCTCTTTTGGATTGTGAGGATTTGTCTATTCTTTAGCCCCAGACAGGGCAATGCTTAATGATCTGCAGCACAGGTTTGGGAAGCAATACCCATAGTTTGGAGTACTGGTACAGGTTATTTATGATTTCTTACAGCCTCAGTTTTTTATTTGTATACTGAAGGGAAAAGGTATCTACCTCAGAGTTTTGTTGTGAATATTAAGTGAAATAATAAATGCAAAGTGCTTAGCACATAGATGTTCAATAAATATTAGCTAACTAATAACTAATTAAAATAATCTTAGGGAAATATGAGAAACTCTCTCATCAAGTCAATCATCTGAGTGTCTAGCACATGCAAACTCTTTGCTAGACATTGTGAGGCTCTAAGAAGCACTCCACAAGGGGAGTTTCTTCATCAGCAGGGGAGATAATCCATGTACACAATTAGCTCTAGTGTGAGGTGGAAAATTATAAATGCACAAGAGAGGCACAGGTAAAGTTGGTGACAGTTTGAGAGAAAGAAAGGGCAACTTCTAACTGGAGGATTGAGAGAAGCTCCATGAAGGAGGTGGCACTTGCCCTCACCTGTTTTATGAAATATCCTTAACCAATGTAAACTAAACTCCAAGTTAGTTTCCAATTATACAATAAGTACACTCTTGGGATATATTCCATTACTCTTATCCACAATGGCTCTAGAAAAAATAAATTGATTTCTGAAATATCAGCTAAACAGAGACCATGTGGGAAAAGGGCCTACTGCTCCTATCACCTTCACTTACTATATGGTATATTCAGAAGTCACATATTTGTACTTTATACATGCTTTGGTATTTGGCATTATCTCTGACACCATGCCTTTCTACTACTACAGGTGTAAAGAGCTGAGGGCAGTCCCTTTAGAATTCCTTGGTTCACTTTTCAGAGTATGCCCTGGGTAGCACTAGTTCCATGGCATGCTGCGTAGGGAAAGAAAAGAAGTAGAAGAAGGAAAGAATTCTGTGATGTAGTTTTGAGAAACTTGTTTTCTTATATCTCCCTCTTGGAGGTTCACTACACATATTAGCATATACAAGTTAAATCTATCCAACATATTACACCTAGGATATCATAAACCTATATGGGCATATAAGACTTTTTATCCTCTGGCATAATACCTAATAATTTTCCATTTCACCTTGGAAACTGAGGGATTGGCATGGCATGTCCTAAGAGTCATTAAAATATCATGCCAAACCCCAAACCCATTTAGGCAATCTGGAAACCTAGGGAAAAATGTCTGTGGCTTCCAGTCTTGTGATTACTTCCAGGTAGATAGTCAAACATGAACTTCCAAAGAATTTAACTCATCTTCTCCATTTGGAAGGCACTGCATTCACTCTACAAAACACCCTTACCTTACTTTTATAACACCCTGTGAGGTGGGGCCTTATTCCTCTCCTTTTCACAGATGAGCAAATTGAAGCTCAGCGATATTAACCAACCTATCTAAGATTGTACCACTGGGAGGTGGCAGGACTTGAATTCTGTTTCCTAAGCCTCCCTGTTCATTTCCTAAGCCTCCCTGTTCAACACCAGTTGCCGTGGATTCACATTAGTGTTAGAAAGCTAGCATCATCTTAGTTTGGCACTGGGTAATTCCAGTGAACAAGTTAAACAAGTTAAAATAAACAGTTATCTACAATTTACATAAAACCAATGGATTATACATTCATCATCTCATCAATAGATATTTAGAGAGAGAGATTTTTAAGGTCACTTAAAATCGCAGAGGTCACTGAGCCATACCCAACTCTGATTCACTAAGTAGCCCCCTCCTCTACTGCGTCTAGAAAATCTCCCATCTTCTACCAGGAAGTGCAGCTGCATGTTACTTCTAAGACCCCTCAGCTATAATATCTGGAAGAAACAAAATGATTTTGCCAAAACATCAGTAAACAACCCTTGAAATAGAAACATGAAGTGATTACAAGTGACAGTCCTCAAATTGTGCTAAGGCTCAAAAGTGGTGCTTTCTTAGTCTCAGGAGGCAGGGTGGTGCCACTACCATCTAAGAAAGCTTAGGATGTGTGATGAGGATTTCTGGAGAGATACAGAGAGGGCATTTTCTTTGCCACAGACAATGGATTTTCTTGGTTACAGGAAAGCCACAGATTTACACCATGAAGGAGTAAATCTGGATAAACGGCATGATTTATTCCTCTTAAAGGAAGTGCTTACTTTGATGGTGAGTCCACTGTGTTTTAGCCAGAAGGAATTATAATGTGAGAGCATACATGGCATTGCATGCTAATTAGGAGGTTTACTGCCTCAGCCAGGATAGTTTTTAGCCTCTGTGAAAAAAAAAATCTATGATGAATACTTGCTAGAAAAGGAACACACGGTAAAGGACGCCCAAGAGTTGTTATACAACTGATAAGATGCTCCCAAGAAGGAGGGGAGAAGATGCTCTAGGAGCCAGAAGAAAAAACAGTGGTTGCTATAAGATGCCACTGAGAAATCCCAGAGTTGTCTTGCATTGATAAATCATCATGACCAACCACCTTCAGATCACAATTGTAGTAAGTTGGCATAGCAGGATAGTGTACTGTGATAGGGACTGCAGCCACCTGGGGAGCCCGGATTCCCATCTTAGAGGTGTTCCCTATGAGTGCTATCCCTTAATTCTCTCTGAGCTCCAGTTTCTTCATTTGTATAGTGGGGACACCAGTGACTACCTGGTTCGAGGGGAATGAATAGACAAATGGGAATGAAACACACTCATGAAGTCCTCCCACTGTGCCCATTCATAATCACTTATTTTTTTCTTTAATTCTTAAAATTTCAAAGTAACACTGGCATTTATATTAACTCAATCTTCCCTTTGCCACATCCTCTGTTATGCTCTGCTCCAGCTAAGGTACTACACTCGTCCTAACTTAAAGCTAACTGCCTTCTCCTTGTCTATAATCTTCCTTTTGGTATTCTGGATCATCACTCATGAACAGATCTTGTCTAATTTCTTGTGCTCTCAAATTTCATTAGTTGACATTGTCAAGTTGATTGGAGTTTTGGTGGGGGGATGGGGGCAAAGACAGTTGTGCTCCTATTTCTGTCCCCAGCACCTGGCATAGGGACCCACTGTACAATTGTTACCGAAGACAGTTTGAATAAAAAAATGAATGAAGTATCTATCAACATCTTGAATAAATGAAGTGTATCATATGCCTCCAAATAGTTCACTCACTCCTTACTGGATAAATGTGCATTACTTTGGTTTTTAGAATACTTTGTACTTTATTTTTCAGTTAACATACTTTCATAACAACAAAAAAGGAAGAAAACCCCAACTCCAGCTCTGTGTAACAACACCCTCCCTTCTCTCTCCCGGGGCCTCAGAGGCTTCCTTCCTGGATTTATGTGGAAGCTGACACGCTCCCCTCTTAGCGAGGCCATGTGTACTAGATAATAGCTGCGCAATCCTTTATGAAGATGACAATAGTGCGGCTGGTTTCACGATTAATAAAATGATCAAGAAATTGTTCAGAAAAGCAGGAGGAGAGTGAGCGAGTGAGATGGAGGAAAAGAGCATGCGAGGCAGGGCGCCCCTTCTCAGGGCCACCTGATACTGTCATAGGCACACACTGAATACTTATATGCCCCGCTGTTCTGAGTACTTTACATATATTATTTATTCCTCACAGCAACTCTCTCCATTTTAAAAGTAAAGACACCGAGGGACAGAAAAGGTAAGGGATTTTCTACAGATCACTCAGCTACTAAATGGCAGAG